TCCTTCTGTCAAATCCATGTCTCTCCAAGCAAAGTGTGAAAAGATGTCATCCACCACAACCAAAACCATTGTAGGCCTGTTTCTACACTACAAATCAGATTTGTAGTAAAGAAAGCAAACACTTTAAAATAACCCCCCAAAAGCCTCAGTCATTATCAACATCTCTATAGCAAGCTATGACACAAGACTGGTCATCATCTCTGACCTCTCCCTTTCCTTTCCCACATTTATGTTTTACAGCCTTCTGTCTAATCACTTGTGTTTCTCCTCCAAAACTGATACTCCTTTGTAATAACAGCGCTTGTTAGCAGGTCTTAAATGAACAGATATGTTTAAGAACGAAACTTTCTGATATTTTTTCCATGGAAGTTTTTGTACATTTTGCCACTTTCTGAGGAACACAATGCTATCCTTGTTCTAAATGTCATCATCTGACCTTATTAAGAAGATCTTTCAATTCCTCCTGCGTTTTCACAATTTTTTTCCAGTGTTCAATCTGCTCATCCTTCACATGCTTCTCCTGCAATCTGGAAAAGTGAGAAGTGAGAGTCAGTGCAGCATAAAATCCCAGGGCTACTGAGAAAACTCATTATCACAGTCTAATTAGTGTAATGCAATAAAAGCACACATCATGGAATATTTAATAAATACTTGCATGGCAATTAGAAAATTAAAACAAGTTTCTGTAAGTAAGGGATAACTGACTAGCTAAAATGTGAGTCTGAAGTTACGTACTGTTATGAAAAGGCATATTACAAATACCATTATCTCTCAAGTAGCACAAGTAGGCTGTATGTACGCCAATTCATATTAAGTCAATTACTCATTATCAGTTACTGCAGTAGTGATTTTCAGGAAGCTTTCACAAAAAGGTGTTTGCTCCTTTAACCATCTGTGGCATATTTTGCTTCAATAAACAAGAAACCCACACACAACCGAGAACTCAGCAGAGACCGAACAGCTGTATTAAGCAGGTACAGCTTACCCTAGCAGCATCACATTGCTTTCAGGTATCTTTTGGAAAATCCTCCACAAAATAGGAAAGTCTACCACAAACAGAAAAGTCACTTACTGTATGACAACCTCCAGAGCCTGACCTAGGGAGACAGGCTTATTATTGAGAACATTAAAATCCAGCTGATGACTGAGATAGGAGGTGGCTTCTAGCAGACGATTAAATTCTTGTTCCACCATTTCATCTTTCTCTTTTGGAACCTAGGAGTCAAAAGAACAAACTTTCTTCTTAATAACCTATTCAATAAATAAAAAAGAAAAAATATAGGTCACCAAAGCTTAAAGCCTCAGAGACACTCCTTGAACAGGGCAGAGAAAATTTTAAAAGAAACCAGAACAATGACACACATTACCTTCTCTAGTGCAGTCTAAATTCACACCACCTTGTAACAAACACAAAATGCTACCATTCCCCAAATCAGAGGAACAAGAAAGACAGGGTGTAGATAAATTGTTAGACCAGTGCTCAAAAAGCAAGGTATCACATGCCCTAAACTAGAGCAACACTTCAAGAGAACAACAAAAAGTAACTGAGTAGAACCCTTATAAAAAGAATTTTAACACCCTTAGCTCTCTCAAATGGTCAGACACCAAGGTCTGTACGACACAAAGTCACTTTGCGAGGATACCTGGCCAAGGAGCTAGAAGAGCTGGCAAATCATGATGACAACTGACTTTTCTTGCATGAGGAAAGCAAACCAATTTATGGGCATGTGAAGATTTCCTTTTTGGAAGGTGTGCTCATCAAAGCTCCAGAAGTTTGCCAATGGGACAAAAGACCACTCCGATGGTACGATGGCTCTAGGCAACCACAAGGCTTCAGAAGGCTCAGCATAGCTCAGTGAAGTAGACAGACAGTAACTTCTCTTTTGGAGTGGTCAGTGTGAATGGAACAGAGTACTTCAGTTGGAAGGGACCTACAACAATCATCTAGTCCAAGTGCCTGACCGCAACAGTGCTGAATAAGTTCAAGTGCGTTATTGAGGGCCTTGTCCAAACGCCTCTTAAAGGCTGACAGACTTGGGGCATTGACCACCTCTTGAGGAAGCCTGTTCCACCCTCTTGGTAAAGGAATGTTTCCTAATGTCAAGTCTGAACCTACCCTGGCACTGCTTTGAACCATTCCCACGTGTCCCATCACTGGATACCAGGGAGAAGAGATCAGCTCCTCCCTCTCATTCCCCTCCTCCGGAATGGTGCTACATGTACCAGAGAGCTTCAACAAGGCTAGTGAGCACAGCAGAGGTACTGGAGTGTACTGAAGATACTCATCTAAATTGTGTGCTGCTGCCAGTGTGGAAATATCAGTTAGGTGATGACGGCTGTATGTGCTGAAAAAAGCAAGCATCACACGGTATTAAAAACGGTTAAACCCAGCCTAGGTTAAACAAAGTATAGGGGGGAAAACACTGATGAGTGTAAGAGAAAGATCAGCATGAGGACGAAGAAAAAAGTACACACTTCAGAAAGACTGGGAAAGCTCTTGGATGATTGCTAACCAGAACAAAAAGAGTTTGAGAGGTGCTGTTAACAGTGCTAAGCCTATCAGATGGCTCTTTTCCAATTGTTACTCACCCCTAACTCAAAGTATACCCTGTGTAGACTGGGAAGTTATATTAGCATCTCATTGTTCTACTTAGGATTCATCTTCCACTTTGCAGCTGGCTGCTCTAAGCATTCATTCTTGTGCCAAAGAATATTAGTTATCTAATATCTTATATCTTAAATACAAGTTATCTTCTAGCTCTGTAGATCTTCGTCTGGCATTTTCCCAGACTGAAACACTAAGCCTCACAATTAACAGTCATATGTAATCTCTGGGTACATATCATAAGCACAACAAGCCAACTTTTCCAATTACCTATACTAAGATGCTAATTCTTCCACTATTCTTGCAGTAAAATGTCTTAGAATCCCACTGTTCCGTAGGTAGTGTCTCACTAGAGACTTATTAGATCATGAAATTAATTTCCCTATTTCTGATGGATGTACCTTTTTGAGTCCTTCCCTCAAATCCATTTCTCTCCAATTTAGAGACAAGGATGTTGTGTGGGACAGTGTCAAAGGCTTTGCACAAGTCCAGGTAGATACTATTCAATACTATATCTACTGGTTAGTTCTCAAGATCAAGATGCTTTTAAAACATCATAGAAGTTTAGAGATACTGTCAGCTCAAAGACTTGAACATTAAAAACAACAGCACTACAGAAGACACAGGTTATATGATGACTAGAGCATATATCTAAACATTTTTTTTTTTAACTATATGAGGATATTTCAAACTTTCCCTATATTTAGCTCCGGTCTTGTCTGATCTACAATTTCAAGCTGTAGATACATGCTTACCTTTCTGCTCATTCATTTTTGTAAAATTGAAAATCTATTTCTAAGACCTGTATCGCCTTCCCTGATTGATAGTGCTCCCCTTCAGAATTACATGCTGAAACTTCCTCTTTAGCCAGACATGTACTTAAGATTCCTCTATGCCATCCTCTCTAGCAGCTGCTGCCAGTCACATTTGATAACAATTATACCACTCCATAGCTATAGAATCACAGGATGGTTTGGGTTGGAAGGGACCTTAAAGCCCATCCAGTCCCACCCCCTGCCATGGGCAGGGACACCTCCCACTAGCCCAGGTTGCCCAAAGCCTCATCCAGCCTGGCCTTGAACCCCTCCAGGGATGGGGCATCCACAGCTTCTCTGGGCACCCTGGGCCACTGCCTCACCCCCCGCACAGGAAAACATTTATTCCTAATATCTCATCTAAATCTGCCCTCTTTCAGCTTAAATCCATTATCCCTTGTCCTGTCGCTACATGCCTGTGTAAAAAGTCCCTCCTCATCTCTCCTGTAGCCCCCTTTCAGCACTGGAAGGCTGCTATAAGGTCCCCCCAGAGCCTTCTCTTCTCCAGGCTGAACACCCCCAACTCTCTCAGCCTGTCCGCACAGAGAAGTGCTCCAGCCTCTGATCATCTTTCGTGGCCTCCTCTGGACCTGCTCCAATAGCTCGACGTCCTTCTTGAGTTGAGGGGCCAGCGCTGGACACAGTACTCCAGGTGGGGTCTCATGAGAGTGGAGTAGAGGGGCAGAATCCCCTCCCTCGACCTGCTGACCACCCTCCTCTTGATGCAGCCCAGGATCTGGTTGGCCTTCTGGGCTGCCAGCACACATTGCTGGTTCATGTTCAACTTCTCATCTACTGACACCCCCCAAGTCCTTCTCCTCAGGGCTGCTCTCCATCCATTCCCCTCCCAGCCTGTGTCTGTGCTGGGGGTTGTCCCGACCCATGTGCAGGACCTTGCCCTTGGCCGTGTTGAACTCCAAGAGGTTGGCACAGTCCCACCTCTCCAGCCTGTCCAGGTCCCTCTGGATGCCATCCCTTCCCTCCAGCATGTCACTGCACCACACTGCTTGGTGTTGTTGGCAAACTTGCTGAGGGTGCACTCCATCCCACTGTCCATGTCTCCAACAAAGATGTTAAATAGCACCGGTCCCAATACTGACCCCTGAGGAACACCACTCGTCACCGGTCTCCATTTGAACATTGAGGTATTGACCGCCACTCTCTCAGTGTGACCATCCAGGCAGTTCCTTATCCAGCGGGTGGTCCATCCATCAAATCCATATTTTTCCAATTTGGCCACCAAGATATCATGCAGGATAGTATCAAACACGTTGCAGAAGTCCAGGTAGATGCTCTTCAGTTAGAAGATAGATTCTTCTTCAGTTGCTCTTCCTTTGTCCACTGATACTGCAACTCCACCATAAAAGGCCACCAGGTTTGTCAGGCAATGACATTTAACAACGTAATTTGTACCTATTACATTCAAAAATATTTGATTTTTATACTAAGTAGAACATGTATTTCACATGAGACTATTTTCCTACATGTACCAGAAAGCTTCAACAAGGTTAGCGAGCATAGCAGAGGTACAAGGAAAGCTTCAAATGGCAGTTCCCAAACGCAAACTTTTTTGTCATATTCCAATGATACACCCACTGCCGACTTAACCTTCACGTTCTTATACTACCCCTGAACACTAGGATCTACTTTAACAGCAGGGGTACATACTACTGTGCCCTTTTAATTTCTTTAATCATGAAAAAACGAAGAGCTGGAAATGAAGAGGTATTATCTAAATTAGTTCTTTTCTAGGACACCTCCTCAACAGTCAATCCATGCATAAATGATTCTGCCTCTGAAGAGAAGACCCTGGGGATGAACAGGACGCTGCTGCAGCTTCTGACTTAAGTTAAAGCCCTGTCTCTGTGGGCCAGAACTTGGGACACATCCTCAGTAGAGGTCTTGGTGGAAAAGAGAGGACTTGCTACTACTAAGCACTGCGTTAAGACTGAACAGAGGCTCTCCAGAGCCACAGGGCAGAGTCCACTGAATGATTAGGTGGTGTTGGGTTGGACTTGATGATCCTTGAGGTCTTTTCCAACCTTAATGATTCTATGATGATTACATTTTTAAGATCTTTTCTGGATGAAGAGGTGTAGGATAGTTCTCCTGAAGGTTGAAAAATTAAAATTAGAGCCCTAGTTTCAAGAAACTGATGGTAATCACTTTTATCATTTGATTCACCTTCCAGGTTCCAGCTTAAGCATCTATTATTACACCACAACTCATCTGTGATGCACAATGAAGCACTGCCCAAGCATTCAGAGATGGCATTAGGAAAGCCAGAATTCAGCCAGAGTTGAAACTGAGATGCTGGACATAAGCGGGCAACAAGACAGGTTCTCTACATACACAGCAGTAGCAAAAAAAGTAAGGATAATGCAGACTGCATCTGAACCTGCTGGTAATGGATACGGAAAAGGCTAAATCACTAATTCCTCTTCGCCTCAGACTTTACGGGTAAGGTCTGCTCTCAGGCCTCCCCAATCTCTTCTCCTCTCAATGTAATCTCAACAAGTTGGGGGAATGGGTTGACAAAAACCTCATTAAATTCACAGGCAAAGCCTTGAAGCTGTGACAGAATACCCCCATGCATCAGGACAGGCTGAGGGTGGGTATCAGCTCTGAAGCATGTAAGGATCCTGGTAGACAACAAATTGAAGATGGCATTACAAAATACACACTTCCCAGCAATGTGAAGTTAGGATGAAGAAAAGGAAGAGAAGTTACATTTTTGATATTCACATTGCTCACCTTTCACAGCTGACATCAATGCCACATTCAGTTTAGGCAGCTGTGCAGGCAGAAGAACTTGCCAAAGACTAGTCAAAACTCCTAAATCAGAAATTTTTTTTGGAGGAAACCAGCTAACCACAAAGAAAGGATCTGGATCTTGCAATCATTATCCTAAGAGAATCTGATTCCATCTTCATTTCTTTGGAGATAAGTCTTTCTTAACTAGGTAGCACCATGGCAAAGACTAAAATAATAACCGCACTTTAGAGGAATGCTAACTGAAGGTAGAAAACTGCTCCATCTTGGGTCATTAGACAGTTGTGAGCAGCAAGAGAGATTTATGCCTTTAGTTGCAGAGCCTAGCAATGAGGATGTACACCCAGTGTGTAACTTATGCACTTTGCCCTTCAGTAAAATGCCAAGAGTGGAGATAAAGATGTAGACAGTGTCAGAACAGTTAACCATTGAAAAGACAGTTGTGTAGATGGGGAAAGGTGTCAAGAAAGTAGCCAAGGTATGACGGACATCTGATTATTACTTGTGCCCAGACTTCTAGACGTATTCCCTGCGTTAGATGTCTGAATCATTATCTGAAGTATGGAGATCTTTGAAACTCCCTAGGACAGCTGGGGAATTAGCTAATTTAAAAGCTACAACTTGCCTCCTGTCAAGCACTATGAAGTTTGACAAAATGCCAGAGGGAGAGGTGCAACACTAGTGCTCTTTTATCTGGGACAAGAAAGGCTGTGCTCTTGGCTACTGCTGGTGGACACAAATTAGGAAGGTTTTAAGGAGGACTGGGGCAACAAACAGATTTGGGCTCAGGGATAAGCTGAAAGGAAAATGTAAAGGGACATTATCAAGCTAGCAGACTCTCTATTGGCAGGGTGAGCAAAATCTCTGCTCCCAAAAAAGCACTAAAAAAGGAAGTTATTTGCCCAAAACACATCAGTAATGCAATGTGAATACACCTTTGGAAGAAGCATGTCCTGTAAAAAATTATTTCAACTTAAACTGAACTTATTTTTCACTGTTTATAAAGTAGTACCTCGTCAGTATCTTTTCAACAATTGCAACAGAAAGAAGTAGAACATAAGCAGCCTGACAGCTATTTCAGGATAAGCTTTACACAGTGGGGTGGAAATCAAAGTACTAAGAAATGAAAACATTGCAGAAACACAAAATCAGCATTTACTCTTAGCTTCATTCTCTAATAATGAAAGGAAAAAGTGTGGGAACATTAAAAAAGGAAAAGAAACTATTAATAAAGTAACTGCCTTGGTGGAAGTAGCATCATGGATTATATTAGTGACAAGCAAGAAATATAAAATGAGCAGTAAATGTCAAAACATATCGCTTTCAAGGTACAACCACACCACATCTGAGCAAGTGAATTCAAATTTTCTTTCTAGAGCTTCCATTTTCATTTACTTACTCTTTATCATATGAAGTAACAATCTTTAACAGTTTAGATGGTCAAGAGCTACAGGCAATAGAGATATGATCACAGATAGACACACAGATACTGAATGTCACATAATCAAGATTATATTGGCATTTTTGATATCTATGTGGTAGAAGATTAAAATACTGGTCATCATTACTCACACTACAACTTCTCTTTCTAATTATCTGTCATAGTTAAAATGGCTTCAAATTAAGATAGTTCAGTCAAATGTTCCAGAAGCTATACACGCCAGATGTGCTAGGAAACAAGCAGCACACAGAGGCAATCTTACGTATTTATTTATTTTTAAACCAAGGAAGAGCACTGTGGTTCATTATATAGTCACCAAGACAACATTCAACACAAAGAAGTGATAAAATTTGGTCTGGAAAATATATCTAGTTATAGGCATCAAGCTTTGTTTGCAACAGGTAAGCTGACATGCCTTTTTTTGGTGACATGCCTTTTTAGAACATGACTAGCATTATAACCTTCCTGTCATTACACTCATCAATGCACACATCTAAACAGCAGCAATTCCTTGCTGCAATAGCCACCTTCGGACAGAAGGAGGTGATGATGTGTGTCCCACCCTGTTAGCCAAAGGAGCAGCAAGGACCAGAATTCTCTGTGCTGAGGGATTCCTCCCCATGCCAGTGCTTGGCAGTGTGCCGCCACACAACCAGAAGGAATATTTATTCCTTTTCAGACAAACACTACACTCCCACTGCCTTCTTCTGTCAGTGCTGATCTGATGAGCAAGATAAATTCCTGGACCACAGGAGCTGCACATGCCTGAGGGGCTTAGCTGGATACAAGTGATCTCGCTGCTGCAGTCTGTGAACAGAAAAGAGTGGGCTACAGAAAGGAAAGGTGCGTGGTCAAGCTGCAGGCATCACAGTGCTTACTGAGACCGTAAAAGCATGGTTCTAAGTGCCTGAACTGTGTGTTATTGGGTGGTGTTAACACAGGGAGTCTCTTCAAACTGCACAGGCGGATCTGTCCCACTGTGAGACATTGGGGCAGATGCTGAAACCAGGAGAGGGTGTGCAGTGCCCAGGCAAACACGGGACATGCAGGACTGGCTTCACAACATGAGAGCAGACTGAGTGCTAGAACTGTCTACAATGCCTTTGTTGCCAGTGAAGTTAGAGCTAATATAACAAATTAACAGATTAAGAAGACTGACCTCGGGACTTTTTAATCACCTATGGTTTGTTAGATTTACCCTTGAAGATGGGAACATCCTGGAAAATAATCAGTATGTTTGGGGTAGTCAGCCAAGCTAGTGATGAGCACTGTCCAAAAGTGACCTATCCTCATTTTAATGTATTTATAATACTAAAAATCATACCTCCAAGTGTCGGGACAACCCTCCTGAATTAAGACTGCTACTTACTGATGCGTAGTAAACTCAAGGAACACTGTTTTTAAATTGAAGCAAGAAAAGACCTAACCAACTGTAGCTAAGTGGAGATAAAACTAACCAACTGTAGTTAGAAGGATGCGGCAAAGTAGACAGAACATTTTGAACTGCATGAACACACAATGTGACCGAAACTGGGTGCGCTAGCTTTGTAGAATTACCCCCTAGCACCCACCTCTGCGCAGACATGCAATAAACAAAATCTCAGCTCTGTGTGTATACTGGCATATTGCACACTGGGCGATGAACTCTGCTTGTGAGATAACATCTTGGTAGCTTTCCCTGAGTTTATTACAATGCCTCATTCATTCATGTGCAGCAAGAAAAGCTGCAGGTGCCAGGTTACAACAGGTCTGTGTCAAAAATCACTTTTTCAGGCCTCTAGGAAGAGGCTCAGCAGCCTCTGTCTTCTGTCTTTCAGACATCCATCTGTCTTCTGAAAGAAGTTACTCTTAGTACCATGTGTTAAGATTCAGGAGGTAGGAACGCTTCTAGCCCATACACGTGAGAGATTCAGCACTAAACTAGCATCTATCATTTCTATCTCTAACAGCACTCCCTGACACTGTATCAGAAAGAAATAAAGCTCATTAAGTTTGTGAATCCCAGCTCTAGAATGCTACTGCTGAACTGTTGCATGCATTCAACCAGCTGGCATCCGTTAGTCAATTCTTTATAAAGCAGCAGATAAGTAGAATAGCCAGAAAGAGCTTATTTCAGTGAAATGGAGTAGCAGCAACAACAATAAAAGCTAGACTGCCAGCACAGCAGACAGTTGTTTCAAACAGGAGTGAGACAGACAACTGTCTAAAGAAAAACAGTGAACAGGTTGCCCAGAGCAGCTGTGGATGCCCCATCCCTGGAGGGGTTCAAGGCCAGGCTGGATGAGGCTTTGGGCAACCTGGGCTAGTGGGAGGTGTCCCTGCCCATGGCAGGGGGTGGGACTGGATGATCTCGAAGGCCCCTTCCAACCCAAACCGTTCTGTGATTCTATGATTAATTTGGGAAGAACAAACAGGAACTTAGACAAAACCTCTGAAATTCAAGTTAAAAACTCACGTGGAAAGAAGAGGTTTTAGAAGAACAGGTGCAGCTATGCTAGAATATTACTGCACTGCCTAAAAATGGACACACACTTTCTTTGCTCCTCGCCCCCCTTCCTGGAAGCTATCTCCTGCTAGACCAATAGCCTGGTAGCAAATACACTTGAGATACTATTTGTTTTTAAAAGGATCATAAAAACAGTGATACTCACAGCTTGTCCATTTGCTTCATAAAGTGGGCATTTTTGTTTGATCTTAGCCAATTCCATATTCACTTGTTTGCTGACCACAGCCATGGGATTTCCTCCTGGAAAACATTTTGTATCATTAACAGAGCACTCCTGCAAAGTTTGTCTGCAATTAACCAAAAATTCCACAGTTAAAGCTATTTCTGAGACTAAACACATCCCCTTCAATGCAAAATGCATTCCAGTGAGGTAGTATAACACTGACAAAGGTCTACACTTCACAGCAATTCTTGCAACAAGGTCACAAAAAAAACCCAAACAAACCTGCTCACTAACACTTAAAAGGACAATATGTAAAAAGGGCTGATTAAAAAAGCAGAGTCATAGGGTGGCAGCAACCTTAGTACGGATTGAAAGTTTATAGCTACAAACATATCTTCAAAACAGAGTGTTTGAAAAGCCGAGGAAAGCTCCCACTGCTGCACAGTAACTTCAGGAGCTTTTGAAAGCGTGGTGACATGGAAATGGAACCTGAAGAATTCAGTTCCTAAAAATTTAGTGGAACTCCAACAACTGACACGGGGAATATAATCTTATGATGATGAACAACTGCACCTGGAAGATGTGTAACTAAACAGATTATAAAACAATCTAGGGGATTGTACATAGAAACATGAGGAAGGCAGAAACCATAAAATTAAGCATCCAGAATCACTAAACATCAAAGCCTCTCTGTAAGTACAGCAGAGGAAAAGAACAGACAGAAATAGGAAATCACACAGAGGAGAGGCAACACTGATTTCCTCCACAAAATTAACTTTGGGAAAAGTTCTTCAGATCTAGCTTCACAATGTTCTCTGATTCTGCAATCCAACCAAACCCAGAACCTTAGTTCAAAACAGAGGGGGAATTTCAGCCACCCTAATACCTTCCAGCAGAACGGAGTTTTGAAGTAGGTCTAAAAAGGTTCATGTTTCAAGTTCAACAACCTACTGAAAATTTTAGTTCTTCCATGGTTTACTAAAAAAAACCACCAAAAAAACACAGAAAAAGTCCTATAACTTCAGTCTTTCCCCTTCCCAATGCACAAGCTCAACCCCTTCAGTAGTCTTCCCTCTTCACATCTCTTCCAGATTCAGAAATATGAAGGATGCCATTCAAAGCATCTCCTTCACTACGGAATCTTTCTTTCCCCATAGCATATGCTGTCTCATTCAAGGCACAGGGTAGATTATTTTGGAAAGGAAGCACTCATGATGAATTAAATAAAAAAATACTACAAACTTTCACTAGGCAACCTTAAATCTATTTTACCAGGACTGTGAAACTTCAATACTCTTTGTCTGGAAACGGTTTCTGAATACAATTTAATAAAGGCTAAACATAAGATAGACACCAAGTTTTGGCAGTCAATAAAACTCAGTTAGGTTTTATTATAGGCTTTATAATACTTTCTCATTTCCCTGCATTACTGAAGGGTATTCCACATTAAACACCTGCCCGTCTTCTTAGCAGAGTAACCAGTATCAATAACTGATGACATCCCATAAATCAGCATTAAATAGGAAGAAATATGGCTTGTTTGCCATTACTTTTCAGCTAACTCACTTAGAGAAAGGACTTCTGGGGTTTAAATCTTGACTTTAAGAAAGGCTTTCTCTTTATAATGGCTCTGCTTTTCATTCCCCCTCCTCCCTTTTTTTTTCATGAAAATTAAAAAAAAAGATATTCCATCTCTCTGGGGTCTCTCCCATCTTTTAACTTTGCTATTTACTTTGTTCTTAGCTACTCAACTAATCCCCTCACTACATTCCCACTTCTCCATGTTCATTTTCAGCTTTGACTTTGGAAGATGCAAGGGAACAACTAAGAGAGTTACAAAGAAATTCAGCCCACGGACCCGAGCCCAGAGGCCACTGGCAAGGCAGGTAAAGCAGCTTTAGGAAGATTTGCTCAGCAAGTGCAGTGAACCCAGTGCAGATACCACCTTACAGGAACTGGGCAAAGGAACAGACACAGAAAAGAACAGCATGCCAAAGGAAAGAGCAAAGAATTCCACTAAGCACAAGCAAACTGTAAAAGAATGGATCTACAAGAGTTTAGTGACATGACAAGCACCTGTATGAATTCAGTGACCAATGAGAGCAATGGCACCAACATTTCTGTGAGTGCTGCTATCTGTCTTGAACATTCACTGGTAAAAAATCCTAACTGCCAAAGAGGTTGAACTAGAACATCTACTTTTTAATAGTTAAAAATACCCAATTATTTTGGCCATGAAAGGAAACAGAATAAGGTTTCAGATTTGTAACATCTTGTCCCACAATCTTCCTCCCCGCTCCTTTTTATTTTGAAAAACTCACCAAGTCCTGTTACCACCATTGCGCCTAGATCAGCAACATAGTTCCCTTTGCGGAAGGTCGCCACTCTTCCTCCTACTCGGTCCTTTTAAAAGCACAATGTATTAAACCTCCAGTAACATTCAGCAATACATATCACTTAAGTATAATCACAGAAACTTCTACAGAATGTGGTATAAGTGTTGTTATTGCATCCAGCTCTGGGGTCCTCAGCACAGGACAGACACGGAGCTGCTGGAGCGGGGCCAGA